AGGCCAAAAAGGATTCCCCAATAAGGTATCACTGGCCATGTGCCCCTTCCAGAGGCATTTACATTCATCAGAGGACCATGTCTTAACTGTGAGCAATGAAGCTCAGATGGCAGGATTTCAGGCACCATGACAGGCAAGCAAGGAGTTAGTTGGAGTAGGGGTCTTTTTCATATGTAAAGCTCTTCTGATAGTGTGAAGAACACTGAGCTAGGAGTCATAATCCTAGCTCTCCCACCAACTCACTTCGGCAGACTGTTTCTTTTTTGGGCCTCAGCTGTTTTATCTGTATAGTGGCGTCAGCTTGGGTGCTCTGAGATTCCCTGGGTGGCTTGTTGACCCCTGCCATGGCTTCCTCTGGCTGAAGGAGTCGTAACCCCCAAATCCTACTCCTGAACACTCAGGAGTGGCACTAACAAGTTCCCACTCCCCAGTTCCCTGAGGGCCCTCAGTAACAGGAGAGACAGGGCAGTGTGCCCTATGGAGCAAGACTTGTCACTTAGAGCAGAAACTAAGAGAGCAGGAGGAGGAGAAAGAGCCCCGAGTTCTCCTTCCTGAAAACCTGAGGGACCTCTGGGATCCCAGATGACCCTGGGGCCTGTGTGTCCCCATGCTTTTCCTGCAATGCCTGTCCCAAGAGGGCAGCTCAGTGGCATAAAGAAGCCACCTGCTCACCCTGTCATGCCCCTGAAGACAAAAACACTTGGGCTACAGCCGGAGGGATTTAGATTAGACTCATAAACTACCAAACTGGAAACTGCTGGGGCCCAGGCATGAATCCATGCTGCAGGGTGAGGAGTGACAGCAGGAGGAGCTGATGAATTGCACCAGCCAGAACTTGCACTCGATCCCCATGTTAGAGGGTGGATTCAGGCCAAATGATGCCCAGTGCTTTCTGAGCCTCAGGAAGAGTCCTCTTCCTTCAACTAGGAGGTCCCCAACCCCTGCTTTCAACCTCCAGTGGTCCCCCATGGCCCTTGTACTGAAGGGTAAACCTCTGCCTGGCATTTGAAGTCTCTGGAGCCTGGGAGTTCATGTGTCCCTAGCCACATATCCCCTCTTTGTCGATACAGGCGACAGCCAGGCCTTCCTCCTCTCCGTCTAGTAAATGTTCCCCACTCCTGAGGCTTTTGCTCTTTTCTGGGATGCCAGCTACTTTGCTCTGAGACCCTCATCTGGAAAACCCTCCCAGACTAATCAAGTCTCCTCAACCAAGCCAGGACCCTTCTTAGGGACACTATCACTTTCCCTACTCTTGACAGTCTCCTGTGGTCAGTTTCTTGTTGAGAGTCTTGGTCTTTCTCCTGATGGAATAGCAAAAGTCCTGTAGGGTGGCCTGGGGCAGGACCAGCCAGCCTGGAGTGAAGTGGGGGTTAAGGAGGTTTCCAGGAGGAGGAAGACCCTGGCAGGGGAAGCCAACGTGGCATCAGATGTTCTGAGACTGCTCCTGTGGAGGACAGAGGCTTGGAGCAGATCTGACTCACTCCTGCCACCACCTTGCCTGGCTGCAGGTCCAGCCAGACGGTTTTCTCGGACACCTTGCCACAGATGGCCCTGCAGAGACTTACATCCATTCAGGGTTGCACTGTCCCATACGGTAGCCACCGGCCACATAGAGACTTGGTACAAAAAAGAATTTAAAAATCTCAATAGAAATTTTTTGTATTGATAACATGTTAAAATGTATGCATTTTGGATATAATTGGCTTAAATAAAATATATTATATGAAAATGACCTGTTTCCTTTTACACTTTTGATGTAGCTATTAGAAAGTTTTAAATTACAGATGTGGCTCACGTGATGTCATTTTCTTTTAGAGACAGCGTCCCACTATGTTACCTGGGCTGGGGCACAGTGGCTGTTAAAAGGCGCGATCCCACTACTGATCAGCATGGGAGTTTCTGCTTGCTCTGTTTCCAACCTGGGCCAGTTCACCCCTCCTTAGGCAAACCTGATGGTTCCTCACTCCTAGGAGGTTACCATATTGATGCTGAACTTAGTACAGACACCCTATCAACGTAGTGCACTACAGCCCAGAACTCCTGGGCTCAAGGGATCCTCCAGCCTCAGTCTCCTGAACAGCTGGGACTACGGGCATGTGTTTGGCTCATTACCATTTTGCAGAGGAGGAAACAGGCTTCAGAGGACTTGAGTAACATTTAGTGCAAAGCCCTGGTGTGACCTGTTGTGTCTGCCCTAGGGTTTGTGAGCAGGTAAGACTCCAAAAGGGATAAATTCCCCAGGCCCTGCCTCTGGCTGGGGATCAAATGCCAGAGTCACACTTCTTCCCTCCCCGTGAATCTTGACCAACCAGCAGTGCGTTCTGCCTTTGAGGGTGGCCTCTGAGTTGGTACTGTGACCCACGCATGTGGAAGATTCCCCAAGATGCCCAGGCTAAGCAGATACTATTGTCTGACTTCCCTCCCCAACCCCAGGCCAGCTCCACCTGCAGCCAAAAGACCTCTGCCCTGCTCCAGCCCTTGTTGGCTTGGCCATCAGCCGTGGCCTCTCTCAGGCATCAGCTCTGTCCAGTTGCCTTGAAACTCCATCTCAGGCCCATCTCTGTCCCTGTACCCAACCCTTGCTCAGGCCGCAGACCACTATGCCCACAGATAAATACCCTAGTGGGTGGGTGTCCATGGCCAGCCCTTAGGGGACACCCCCAGGCCTCTGCAGCAGCAGCTATAGTAGTGACCCTGGGGTTGGAAGCAAGGCCTCTGCAGAAGGAACTTCAGGGGGCAGGCTCTTCACAGCCACCCACCTCCTGAGGCCCATCCCAGAGAAGGGACCCACTCTAGATTCCAGGCCTGGCTCCTTCGGGAGGTGCTTTGGAGGGAAGCCTGTACCCCTAGCCTGGACACAGTGTCAGCATGTGGCTGCTGGCTGGGCCCACAGCCCTGCCGGGATCTCTCTGAAGGCCACCCCTGGCTGTCCAGGAAGGGCCTCTCCAGGCTCTTGGGAACAAGTAGAGCCCATCTCATCTTGGGGGTCCCGGATGTGCCCAGCATCACCTCCAGCGGGCAATCATGCCCTGCATGAGGACTCAGGACCCAGTCCTGGGTCCCTTGAAGCCAGGTTTACTGGAAGCATTTGGAATCCAGCTAGGATATCCCATTTGAATGAAATAGGGTCAAATCTTGGACTGTGATTATAACATAAGGAGGCCACTTTTGGGTTTAAAATAGTTTCAAAATTTAAAAATATATTAAGGGAACAGATTTAGAGGGTGAAGATTCTTCGTAGCCTCGGGATAATTATTATAAAACCAGCTCTCATTTTCCAAGCCTCTGTAGTGCCAGGCTTGTGGTGCCACCATCCCTGGGAGGGGCAGGGCAAGGTTCCTTGGACAGCCAGTGGCATTGGGGCTATCTTCCAGGTGGCTGCCACCATGCCCATCCCTCCCTGCCTTGAGCCCAGCTGCTCTGGTGCAGGAGAGTTATCGGAAAGATTCAGGTTCAATCCTGCGCTGTCACTTGCCTGCTTTGCCTCCCTGAGCATCGTCATCTTCATCTGTAAAATGGGGGCAATGACAGTACGCGGGTCATAGGGAGAGAGCTGGACAGCTGCCCCAGGCCCTTTGCCTGCCTTAACAGGCATGTTACTAGAATTACTACCCTGCTGCTGGCAGCTACCAGCCCTCAAGCTGAGCAAACTCTGTACTCCAGACATTTCCCATGTCCTGAAACGTGGAGGGAGAAAATGGCTCCTAAATCAGGCCAGGGGTACCTACAGGGTAAAGCTGTGTCTGGCCCTGTGTTGGAGCAGCTCTTGCTGAGTGGCCCTGCCCCATCTGTCCCCCACCTCTGCCCACTCTGGAGACAAGTTTGCCCTGAACATGGCAATGGGTGGAAGGAGGGGGTCAACAGAGCTAGCATCTTCCTTCCCCACCTCCCTGAGCTAAAAGGTAGAGGTCTAAGGCCCAGAAGTACCCCATGGCCTGCAAATGCCCTTCTAGTATAGTGATAATGACAGGAGCTGTGGCCAAAGTGAGCAGATGACATGCACCACGAGCCCCTTTGGCCCTGCAGCTTGGCCTCCTTCCCAGGGGTGTTCAGACGTGCCCCTCGTCCATCTCCCTACATCCCTCCCAGCTGTCCTTTTCTACCCCTTCACAACTTACTGTCTCCGTTCCTCACCTCCTCTCACTCCTCAGCCCCCTCACTGTCAGCTGCCTGCTCCTGTCCCTGTGTCCCTGTTCCTGTCTGGGTCACAATGATCACTGAGTCTCTAAACCCAATTGTGAACTTAACTTCCAGAGCTCTCTGGACTTGGGCTGGGCCTAGGGTAAGGCAAGAGAGGCACTTAGGGTGCACATTTAAGGAGGAACTCACTCTCAGGGTTGTGCAAGTGCAGGGTTGGGGCCTGAGGGTGTGTGCCTCCTTAAATTTTCCTTCCAGGGCCCCTGAACATGCTCTGTCTGCATAGTCAGCTCCTCCCCAGGATTCCCAGTCCACATGGAGGTCCCCATCTGCCCACACCGTGGACTCCACTCTCCACCTCCTCCACCACCCTGTCCCTTCCTTCCTGGACACTGGCCACCACTTCCTCCCTGCTGCCACTCTTGCCCACCTATCCACATTCCACAGGGATCTTCCTCATTTGCACGCCTGGCCCTGCCTCTTCTCTACACCAAACCCTCAATGGCTCCCCATTAGCCTGAGGAGAGAGTCCCAGGCCCTCCCCCAGGGCTCTAGCCCTGCTGATCCCTTTCAACCCCACAGCCACATCTGGCTCTCCTACCTCTAGCCTGCATACCTGCATACTTCTGCCTCCAACATGCTGCTCCCTTCTCCCTGCCTTGGAACACTGGCTGGAATTCCATTCTTCACCAAATGAGGTAGGCTGCCCATTTCCTCTGCTCCCATAGCCCCTGCCCTGCCCTTTGTGTAACCCTCATCTGCTCAGTACCCATGTCCCTCCCAGCACACTGTGCTTGACTCACCACTGCTGGCTCTCTAAAGCCTAGAACAGCACTTGATGTAGCACAGGCACTGGATTGGTATTTGTTGCATGGACACATGAATTTATTAATTAGTACATGAGTGGCTTGTCATGTAGGTAGCTTTGGTGGCTGGGTGGGGATGACGGGAGGTACTGCCTAAGCTGTAGCCAGGGCCTGCCTTTGGCAGCAGGTAGCTGGAGGGAGAAGGCCACGTCACCGCCAGCAGGCTAGGTGCTGATTTTAATGGCCTGGCAGTGAGGTGCGTGCATGGCGGAGGCCTGCAGAAGAGGTAACGCTGAGAGGGCAGCTCTGCCCACCTCTAATTATTGCTTGAGTCTTTCTGGCAGTGCCTGCTGCCTGCCCCAGAGAGCTTGGTCTTGTCCATCACAGTGTGAGCTCAGGGTGGGGCTGCTGCCACTGCCAGCGGGGAAGACAATAGGAGGTTCCCAGGGGCCTTGGGTCTTGGAGAGCAGAGGCAGCCCCAGGCTTGGACCCTGCTCAGCTCCTGTCCTTCCTGTTTCCAGGGCAGCTGAAGGGTGCCCCCGCCTTGAGGGTCCCATCAAGAAGCCTCCAGAGTGACCAAGGAGCAAGCCAGCTGAGGGGGGGTCCACAGCACCCCCAAGGCAGGGAGCCTCAGATGGTTTGGTATCTGCTGACATAGAAGCCCTTGGGAAGATGGTGCCCTAGTGGCCGGATGGGCAGGTGGGCAGCTCAGGCCCGGAAGGAGGCCTTGACCATGCGGCCTTTCAGTGGTTGTGGTGGCCGGAAGTTGTTCACCATGTGAATCCTCTCATCATCCTCCGAGGTGAAAAGCAGGCTCCGAAATTTCTCCATCTTGAGAAGTCAGAAGGGATACTCAGGGTAGAATGGGGGTGCTGTGGTCCTTTCTGACCCCAGACACATCAACTGGCATACCCTGTCCAGCCAGCCCTCCCCCTGCCCCCTCTAGGCCCCGGGGCTTGTACTTACTCTTCCTCACTCATTCTCCTCTTTGGAACCACAACCTCAGTCACTTAATCACTAAAGGGCCTCTAAACCCGGACCTTCCTCCACCTAGTTCTAGTCCAATCCTGTCTAGCTAAGACTTATCAGCAAATGTAGCACTAAGATTCCAACACAGTAGGGGTGATCCCAGGATCCAGGTGTCTTCCCTACCAGCCTGAGTCTAGGTCCTAATGACTAACAATCAAGCTAACTCCCAACCAACATTCTACATGTTTATTAGCAAAAGATGGGAGCCTTGATGGTGAGACCACAGGCTGTAGGTTGCTGGTTGGGAGAGTCACCCTGTCTGGGGTGGACCCCGAGTGCTGCTGTTCCCCTCTACCTGGTGCTCTGGGAGGACTCACCTGCCTCTCAGAGACATTGATGGGCTCCCGGAGTACAATCCAGGTGACACTCTCGCTGAGTGGTGGTGTCGTCAGGGAGCCGGGGTAGGTCCAGTAGTGCAGGCTGGCAGGCAGGAGGCACTTCGGGTTGAAGCAGCTAAACTGGGCCTTGGTGCCCTGGGCAGGGTGGGGGAACCCAGGAATCAGCATAGGCCTCCCACCAGGATCATATCAGCAGCTTTCCCACCCATTTCTGTCAGTAGGGTTTAGGATTCTCCTTGGCCCATTGATGCAAATTGTGGGCAAATGTCTATGATCCCAGATGCCATCTCCCAGCCTGGGCCAGGCCTTTTCCACCCGTTTGCTTGTCTTCAAAAGCTACAGTTCCTGGAGCTCTTTGGCTACCACATTCTTTCCCTTGCCTTCAGCTGCCCTCAGTGACCCTGCCTGTCAGACCACCATTAATGTGACAGGCATCTTATCAATCCTGTACCCAACCTGGTTGCATGCTGGGTACCCAATGGGGCCGCTGACCCTGATGAAGAAGAGTCAGTTGCAGGGCCCTGCAGGGGCTGGCCCTCACCCTTGGTTTCAGCGAGGGTTTGCTGCCAGGATGGAGGAGTGAATGGGTCTGCTCTGTGATCCTGCCTCTTTCTCCCTCCCCACCAGGCTGCTCTGGGTCAGGGGCATGGACCCCTGGTCTCACCTTAAACCGAACCATGTAGAGCGCATCTGTCAGACGGTTCATGCTGGGGTGCTCTTCCCCCGTCTGTCAGGGAGAGGGTGGTGTGAGCCCAGCACCAATGTGTTTTAAAACTAGGGGCAGTGCCAGAGCTCCTATGCCCTCTTGGCCCCAGGTAACAATTACTCACCTCCAAGAAGACACCAACCACAGCCAGGCCATCGGGTGCTGAGGCCGCCTCCCCAAAGCTGCTGTACTGCCTGGCATTCCAATGTACCAGGTGTAGCTGTGGGAGCAACGACAGGCCCAGACAGGCCAGTGCTTAGCACCTCCAAGGGGCAATAGGAGACCTGAGCCAGGCTTCCCTCACTCCTGCCAGATTCCCAGTGTCTCACAGGAGGGGGAGACTGTCAAACCTCCTAGGCTTAGCATCCACCCAGGTCTGGGCCCAACCCTTTCCTGAGCCCCAGGGGACGCAAAGAAGAATCTGACTTGGGTCCTGCCCTCCAGTGAATGAGCTGTGAAAGAGATAATTGGCTATCTAGTGTGGCACCTCCCTGAGGAAGTGGCACCTGCAGCTGGGTCCAAAGAATAAGTAGGGTTTTATCAGATGAAAGCCTTAGCAAAAGGCATTCTAGGCAGAGAGGACAGTATAGGCAAAAGCTTGGAGGTATGAAGGAGCCAGGTGTGGGGAGGGGATTCATCACTGGCAGCTTGGTATGGGAAGAGGTCAGGAGGAAGATGAGTCAGGGCAAGGCCAGTTCACACAGGGCTTGGATGCCAGGCTCAACCCTCGAAGAGGTATTAACAAGGGGGTGGTGGGACTGGATTGGCCCTTCAGAAAACTCCTTCTGGAAGCACAGACCGGGACAGCAGTGGGTAGAGTTCAGGTGGAAGACCCTGTGCTGGGGGTGGTAGAGCATGTCTCTCCCAAAGTCCCCTCCCCAGGGGGCTGGCCTTTTAGCTTAGTTGGTTAGAGTGTGGTGTTATAACACCAAGGTCAAGGGTTTGGATCCCCATACCAGCCAGCCAGCCACAAACAAAAAAACCAAAATCCCCTGGGTGCTCCTCCTGTCCCTCTCCAGATCCCCACACCGGGCACCCTCAGGCCCCTGACCAGTCCCACACTCCTTCTCCAGGTAGCAGAGGGATTCAGATGGAGAAAGGCTCTTACCTCACTGGGGAATGACTTGCCATCCACCGTGTGCTCTGAACCCACATCATACTTCTTGCCCCAGTGGAAGTGGAACTGCTTGAGGCGGTAGGGCCCTTCCAGGGGGCCCCCGGTCACCACTGTGGGTAGAAGTAGGTATACGGCAATTGGTGTCAGAGGACCCACGCAGCCCGATGGATGGCAGTGCCAGAACCAGGGTAGCAGTCCAGGAAGGGGATCCGTTTTTCATTTGGAAAATTCACTGGGCTGAATGAGCTTGGGTCAGTTCCCATCAGCCCTCTTGGCCATTAAGCTGGGCCAGGACAGAAATCCTGACAGCCTTCAGGTGGCAGAGGATCTGGGACTGACAGAGTATAGCTCTCCATTTGGCCGTCCTCCCTATTCCTGCCCAATTTCCCATGGAAGCTGGGGCCCTACTTTCCAGGCCCCCATTACCACTAACAATAGGTCTCCACTGTCTGGAGCCCTGGTCCAGGGCTGGGTAGGAAGGATTATTTTGTTTAGTCTTCATAGTAGCCCATAAAGGACAGACCTATTGTTGTACCTATTTTATAAAGGAGGAAACTGAGGCACAGAGAGGGCAAGCCATTTGCCCATGGTCACACAGCAAGGCACTGACCTAGGGTCAGAGCCCAAGCTTCTAATTAACAGGCCACACTGCCTCCCTAGAATCTCGAGCCTCCCTAGAACTTGGTGTTGCCCCACAGGAGGAGGCCAGCTCCTAAGGATGCCCACCCTCCTGACCAGGCCTAGGTGCCTCCAGTGCCATCTCCCTCACAAATGGCCTCTTTGGAGGCCCTCAATTGTGCTGGTTTTTGTGACTTTCTTGCTTTGATACCTGGTGAGCTGGGGCCACACGCACAAGGCCTCCTGGGACTGATAGAATTTCCAGCTGAAAGGGATCTGGTAATGGAGGGAGCCCCAGCCAGGTCTGAATGTGAGCCCTTGGATCAGGTGACAGCCCCAGGCTCAGAGTTCCACTAGGCCCCTCTATGATGGGTGACCAGGGCAAAGCCTTGCCCTCTGTGGGCTCCTCAAGGAAGAAGAGGACAGGACAGTCCAGAGGCCCCTCCTTGCCTTATCTGAGAAGCAGGGCCTGTCTGGGGCAATGCTAGGAGGTCAACAAAGGGAATCTGGGGATGGTGGCTGTGGCAAGGCCCCATCCCTGGGAGGCAGGAGCCTCTGACCCTGCAGGCTGAACTCCCTGATAGGTCTGTGGGGGCTCATCCCTCTGAGCACGCTCCACCTGGGAACCCATCGAGTGGTCTCCCAGAGAGGAAACTTCCTCCGCCCCCCGCTTGAGCTTGGCTCACGTGGCCTCCTCCCTCCACTGACAGTAGGTGCACTGCCATTCACCGTGCACTCACCATGTGTTTGGTGCTCTGCTGGCATCAACCCATTTGACCTCCAGAGTGACCTACAGTGGGTGAGTGGCATAGCCCCAGCCTTCTCAACTCCTCTTTCCACTGGCTCCCTGCCCCCTCAGGCCTGGGCATTCTGGTAGGGGAGGTAGCCCCAGCTAGGCCTGAATGTGAGACCCCAGATCAATGATCCAAAGGCATGCTCCCTTGAGCCTTCCCCCATCCCAGTGGCCTTCACTGAGCTACTGATGTTTGAGCTGAGCCCTCAATCCCCTCTGAAGGAACAGACATATGAAAACTGCTCCTTCATAAACTGTCACCTAGGGTCATCTAGAACCTCATGTCCCCTCCCCAAAGCTCTGGGTGAGAGGTTTTTCTTAGAATCCAGTACCAGGAAATGCTTTGTCTGTCTCCTGAGGACCTGCTAGACCTCTTCCCTTCTGTATCAAGAACTATATAACTGATCCTTTTCCCCTTTTTCCTAGCCTATCAGGGAACTCAGGGCTAAGCAACTAAGACCTCTCCTCAGGAAAGGTCTGACTCCTTCATCTTCTCTGCTTTTTGATTTTCTTTCTGAAACTTAAGTTCCCTTGAGTGCTTTCATTGTATGAATGGTGATGAGGGAGGGAGGGGCAAAGAACCAGTCACTTCCTTACACAAGAAACTCTAGCATGTTCCCTCCTCGCCCCACTCCACGTCCCCACCCCACAGGCCTGGTCATAAGGACAAAAATCCCTTCACTAAACAGTACTCCTGAAGCCTCTACCTAGAAATTTATCATGAAAGAAACTGGACTCTAATCCTAGGGCAAAGCCTTGTAAGGAGTTGCCCCAAGTTCCCACTGGCCTCTGTCTGGCCCAAGATGATTGGATCTGAGATCACGGGTGAGATGGAGAGAGAGGGACCTTTGGATTAGGTTGGTTCTGGTACTCCCCAGCTCATCCAGCTTCTATTTGCCCTTCTAAGAGATGGGTTTTTGAGAGGAATATATGAGTTGCCTGAGACCTTAGCAAGGGGCCTGGTGCCCAAAACATTTTAGTTCCCTTCTCTCCCTACTGGGCTTGGCCAGATCACACAGGGAGGAGGGTTTGGCTTTAGGCCACAAAGCAGGTCAGTGATGGGGCAGAGAGTGAAAACAAACCTGATCTGAAGCACTAAATGGAAGGGAAGGAAGGAAGTTAGTATTTCTTGAGCATTTGCTATATGCCAGCAGTACAAACGCTGCTTTGTTTTTTCATTTTTCCTCTTTATGACTCTGGAGAGGAAGTCTTACTGCTCCCATGTGATCCATAAGGAGACTGAGGCTCAGCCCAAGGCTTCACAGCTGGTAAGAGGTGGAGTCTTCCTTCCCCACCACAGCTTGCTGCCCCTCCTGGGACTGCCTGACATAAGGTTAGAATCCCAGGGGGCACAGGTGCCAGGCTTTGGCAGGGGCCACTTACCAGTTCGGTCATCGCTGTCACTGAAGTCTACCTGGACAGAGTGGCCATTGTTGGTGATGCTGAGGGATCTGCAGCCCTCATAGGAAAGCTCCAGTGGCCGCAGGCTGGGTGAGTACACAGCCTGACTGGACACGATGTTGATGGGTGACTGGCGATCTCCCTGGGCAATGGGATACAGCTTGTGCCAATGTGAGGGGCCTGTAGGTGGGGAGGGGGACAAAGACTCAGGCCAGCCAGGATCTCTGAGCTGAAGGCTGAGGACACCCATCGGGGATTCTCCCTGGCATTCTTTCAGAGGTGAGCCCCTGCTTTGGAGCTGCGTAGTCTGGAGTTCCAATCCCAGCTCTGCCACTTCCCCTCTCAGCCTCCATTTCCTTGTCTGTGAAATAGCCTCACTAAAACTCACCTCCCAATGCTGATAGGTGGCCCAGAGAGAGAATTCATGGAAGAGAACATAACACAGCTACAGGCCCAGGGGCAGTTTTGTGTAGTGAGTTCCCCCCAACCCCCAACACATGCTCAGGGAGACCCCCAGGTGTCTAGTCTCTGACCTGACCCTAACAGGTATGTAGCCTCTTCCCGCATCTTGAGCAACTTAGTGTTGGTGTTTGTGGCAATAATAACAAAAACTTTTATCAGCTTAGCTTTGGCACTGTGACATGTATTTGCTCCTTGTGAAGTAGAACCCACTGTGATTACGACTTCAGTTGAGGGAACTGAGGGACACTCACTCATGTGTGTGAGCGCGCACACACACACACACACACACACACACTGGTATAAACACACAGCATGTGCATATACTGACCCCAGCTGCCCTCCCCAGGCATGTGCCTAAAGGTCCATACATGTGCACAGTGACCTGGGCACACCAGTCCCAGAGCTGCCAGGCCCAGAACATGCATGTGTACAAACACACACACAGCCCTGCTGACTACATCTGATATACTCATATGTACCCTCACACACAAACACCTCCTGTTGGAAACCCAGGCTTGCACGAAGGGACCACAGCAAAACACATGCCCATGCACACACACACACACACACACACGCACCTGCATGCACACCCACGGGCACCCACCACCTGCCTCCCAGAGGCTCCATCTGCAGCAGAGAAGCTCAGCATCTCACTGGGGAACATCCTGAGATGCAGCCTATTTTTAGAGCTACTGCCGGCTGGTGCTTCTCCCCCTTTTTGGCTTCTTAAGTTTTCCTGAGAAAACAGCAGCAGGTGCCGACAGAGCCGTGTCCCCAATGGATGACTCAGATTTGTGGCCCAGCCCCACTAGGTTATTTTTGAAGTCCTGTGAGCACTGCTGCATGCCGGCACCTCTGTCCTCCGTCCTTCCCTTCCTCACTGCCCCTAAACTGGGCAACCCAGGTCTGGCTGGGTGAGGGGCAGCTGCTTAAGAGCAGCAGGCCCTATGGGATACTGGATGCTCAGAGCAGGTGGGCAGGACCAGCAAGACGGGTACTCTGACTCTGGGGGAAGTACCCAAAAGCTGGTTCAGAGTAGGTGCTGGAGGGAAAATGATCTTCCATGGGTTCTGTCAACCTGTCCTCTCTCTCTCTCTCTCTCTCTCTCTCTCTCCATCTCTGCTGGTCGCTGTTGCTTTTTTCTGAATGTCTCCTTCCGGCTACCGCATGCCTAGATCTGGGCTTCCCCTTCCAAAATATGCTCCTTTGTCCTCGGGGTCCCAGAGGGGGCCAGAGACTCCACAGCACCTCCCTGACTCCCTCTGGTCCATCGCACCTTCCTGGTCCCCCAGACTGTAGCCAGGGCCCCCACCCACTTTCACAAAGTGACTGTGTCTCCCCAGAGAAATGGGGCTAGGGGTATGTTTTTTCTCCCAGCACTTCCTCTTCTTTCCAACCCCACCTGCCCTGCCCGTGTTCCCTCCTCATGGCCTGAATCTTGGCTCCTCATTGTTCATCTCAGGAAAACGGGGAAGCTCTTACCCCACACCACCACCCCTGCTTGACCTACCCCAGAGCTACACTCAAGCCATCTGGCTCTCCCCTTCTGCCTCTTTTCCCTTCCTCCGCATCCTAAGGAAACCGAGGCAGGATGGAGGAACTATCTCCCTGGTCCGACCAGGAGCCTGGTGTGGGTCACGGGCTTCCACGGCTCACACCTGGACGTGTTCCAATACCCTGCTCCGTGCAGATCTCCACCCTGCATTCAACCTCAGTGCCTGTCTTGGCCCAACATTTTCCCACCCACGAGTCCTGGTCCTTGCTGTGCCCTCCGCCTGGTGCGTCTTTTGTCTTCCACCCACTGGCTCCAGCCGGCCCAATCTGATTCATCTTAGGATGTGGCCTTATGCCAAGGATAGGGCTTGTCTCTGGCTAGGCCTCATCAGGCAGTTTTGGGAAGACAAACAGCTGGGTGGATGGAAGGACAGACAAATTGATCCCACCCAGGGCCCTGTACCCAGGAGGAGTTGAGCCATTTGTAGAATGTCAACTGGTCAGACCTTGACCAATGGACACTAATTCAGGTCCTGCTCTAGTCTGACATTGTGAAGGAATCTGCCATCCTGTCTGCCTGGCTCCCCTACATCTCTGTATCTGTCTGTTTCCTTCTGCCAAGCCCTGAACCCCAGTTCCTCACATAGAGTTGTGGAGATTAATTGACACCTGGTTGGCTGGCCCAATGCCAGTGACTGCCCACCGCTACTGAGATGCCCCCCTCTGATCCAGGTGCCAGAAGGGGCTCTTAATATAAATCTGTCCTAGGGTGGAGACAGGGGACTCATGATGGAGATGCAGAGTGGTCCCCAAAACCAGTGTGTGACAGCGAATCCAACCATGTCAAGGCCCCAGTTCTCCAAGCCAGAAACACCATCTACAGATCCAGAAGACAAAGGCATGCTTCTGGGCGAGGCCTGCAACCTCTGTCCACCTCCCAGAGGAGTCAGTCACCCTTTTCCTGGGGACGCTGCAACACCCTTAGGGATCGGGAGACTGCCCCAAATCCATCAACCCAATTCCTCCTCAGTGACCTAGGCCCTTTCCATATTTATTTATAGTCCTTAAAAAATAGAATCGGAATTCTTCATATAGTTCTGTATCCAGTTTCATCCATACAGCAGCCCTTGGGGGGGATTTTTATCCTATTTTACAGATAAGGAAAACAAGTATCAGAGAAATTGAATGATAGGCTCGATGATGCTCGTGGGTGACAGAGCAAGGATGAAAACCCATGACAGAGGCCGGCCCTGCCCCGCCCCCGCCCGCTCGCTGGCCCACTGAGCGGAGTCGAGATGGGGAGTCGGGGAGGTAAACCTCTCTCCCCCACCCTCCACTCCCGTCCTGGCTCTCCCTCTTTCCCCCAACACGTGTACGGACTCTGGGACATGAGAGACCGCCCACGCTGAGGGCTGCACAGTTTCTCCACATGACATCCCCTCCCCGTGCTTGTCCCTGAACCGTAAATGCCACCACCGGGATTGGAAAGTCCCCTTTAAACTGCAAACTACACCGACCATCAATGTCCAGAGCTGGCACTTCCCCGGTTTGCCAGACTCCATGGCACGTGCTGGGCAGAGCTTCGTGTATTTCCTCTGGTATTACCCTCTCTGCTACCCTACAACGCTGAGTGCTTCCATTTGCCCTACTTGACAGAGTGGGTCACTGAGGCCCAGAGAGGTGAAGTGACTTGCCCAAGATCATTTAGCCAGCCAGTGAGGGAATCATTCCCAGTTTGTCTCACTCCAAACACGGTGGTCTTTACCACTTCTCCTTGGTGCTGGGGGAAAGGGGTTGAGAGAGGGGACCCAGCCTTTCAGTGAGAACTTCCACCCAGGTGGGCAGTTCCATTGCCTGTACAGTGGGTCACAGGTGATCTTGTGGGTGTGGGGGTCTGAGAACCCTGCGATAGGTGCGAGGACAGAAATGGCAATCCAAACCCTGGGCCCAGGTGGAGCCAGAGCCCCAAAATGTGAGTGGGGAAGAGTGTCATCAACCGGTGAGCATGGGGATAGATTGACCCACAGACACCAGCTGAGTGTCTGAGGAGCAAAGTCTGAGGTCCTGCCTGTCACTCGCCCTCTCATTCTCTCTGCTGCTTCCTCCTCTCATCAGGGACTCTTTGCCTGTACCTCTACAGAATGCTATTTGTCCCTCCTCTCCTGGCCTCCCCATGACCTTCAGCACACCGGCTGGGAGCACAGGATCTCCACCCTGCATTCAACCTCAGTGCCTGTCTTGGCCCAACATTTTCCCACCCACGAGTCCTGGTCCTTGCTGTGCCCTCCGCCTGGTGCGTCTTTTGTCTTCCACCCACTGGCTCCAGCCGGCCCAATCTGATTCATCTTAGGATGTGGCCTTATGCCAAGGATAGGGCTTGTCTCTGGCTAGGCCTCATCAGGCAGTTTTGGGAAGACAAACAGCTGGGTGGATGGAAGGACAGACAAATTGATCCCACCCAGGGCCCTGTACCCAGGAGGAGTTGAGCCATTTGTAGAATGTCAACTGGTCAGACCTTGACCAATGGACACTAATTCAGGTCCTGCTCTAGTCTGACATTGTGAAGGAATCTGCCATCCTGTCTGCCTGGCTCCCCTACATCTCTGTATCTGTCTGTTTCCTTCTGCCAAGCCCTGAACCCCAGTTCCTCACATAGAGTTGTGGAGATTAATTGACACCTGGTTGGCTGGCCCAATGCCAGTGACTGCCCACCGCTACTGAGATGCCCCCCTCTGATCCAGGTGCCAGAAGGGGCTCTTAATATAAATCTGTCCTAGGGTGGAGACAGGGGACTCATGATGGAGATGCAGAGTGGTCCCCAAAACCAGTGTGTGACAGCGAATCCAACCATGTCAAGGCCCCAGTTCTCCAAGCCAGAAACACCATCTACAGATCCAGAAGACAAAGGCATGCTTCTGGGCGAGGCCTGCAACCTCTGTCCACCTCCCAGAGGAGTCAGTCACCCTTTTCCTGGGGACGCTGCAACACCCTTAGGGATCGGGAGACTGCCCCAAATCCATCAACCCAATTCCTCCTCAGTGACCTAGGCCCTTTCCATATTTATTTATAGTCCTTAAAAAATAGAATCGGAATTCTTCATATAGTTCTGTATCCAGTTTCATCCATACAGCAGCCCTTGGGGGGGATTTTTATCCTATTTTACAGATAAGGAAAACAAGTATCAGAGAAATTGAATGATAGGCTCGATGATGCTCGTGGGTGACAGAGCAAGGATGAAAACCCAGGGCTGCTGGGTCCTTCATTCAACCTTGTCTAAAATCACAGGAAGGGGAGGAAGGGGATTTTAAATTTTATTCTTATTTGCATACATATACAAGTCCTTTAGAAGGATTTAAGAGAAGTTAAGGAGAGTGTTTGCCTCCAGGGAGACCAGAAGGATGGAGGAGGGTGCAGAATGGGGGTGGGAAGGACACTCTTTACTGACCACAGTCTCCTTTGTACCTTTTGAGAGAAGTAAGCATTACCTCTTTATCAACTAAATAAAAGTTGATCCAATTCTTTCCTTCTTGCAGCCTATCTTCAGCAATTTTCTCCCAGTGCTGGGAACTCGGGCAGGTGAGAGGAGCCAGTGGAGTCTGCCCTTCTCAGTT